ATATTCTGTTATTCTGTAATCGATCATTGTATGTTGATGTCTACTCTTATAGAAACGGTGTACCTTTTTGCCTGTTTCACTTTAATTTTCAGCTATTTCTCATTTCCCTTATTCGTTAACTTAAATAAAAATGTTACATTTTAGATGCAGATACTCCTGCAGGAGGGGACAAAAGCGGTACAAAACCTGTCCACGTCGAGGAAGAAAAGGTAAACGATTCGTTAATGGTTCCATTTTGTGTTTGTTGTCGGTCCATTCATCTGTCATGGTTTTATTCATTTTAAATCTAATGATATTTGGGCAACTTGCAAACGTGTACAATATATCTGTTAACACCAGATATCTCCATCAATTGAAATAGATTGTTTGTTGGCCGGAATTTTTTTCTATGCATTGAAAACAGCTTGGTTCTTATTACAGACTGATACTTCCCGCCTGAAATGCCTTGAAGACGAGATAAACCAGATGAAAGAAAAGCTTCGTCAAATGGAAGGTCCGTGAATCTTTTTTTCAGCAAAAATGATTCGAGTAGAAATGTCACTTTTCTTGTATTTAAAAATTGTCAGCTTTTCAACTGTCCTGTTCCTGCTACCATTGTATATTTTTCTGATCATGTCCATTCTTTTCTTCTTAATAAATAACATAACTCAAATAAAATAAGTAGGTAAATAAATAAAACATCGTTAAAAAATTCGTTTGCAGTTTTCATCTTTGTTTTTGAAATTTCGTAAACCGTTACCAGTCTTTTCGCTTTCTCTGTTACAGAAGATGTGCGTGCAAATAAAGATCGCACGGATCCCCCAAAGGCAGACGTTCTGGAATCCTTGATGAAAAAGGAGGTTTGTAAATAGATATATCATTTTGCGTAAAAATGTTTTGATTTCCTCTTTCTTTCTTTGTTATATCGCAATATTATTGGTTTTATTGTTGACAACGTATTAAACACGACCTAGCCGCACCATGTACATTGGTCTGTTGCTAAATCATGGACTGGAATTTGGAAAGCATAAGGCACAACCATAAAATTAGGAAGATCATTAATATGGATTATACAATGTACATGTACATGTAACATTTTGCATTAAGCTAGTGTATTTTTCAGACACAGCTTTTAATCAAGGTATTTCCAAAGGAAGATGGCGACGAAGGAGATGGGGCCATGCTCAAGAGACTGGAGGACATTGCCCTCTCCATGGACGAGAAGCCCAATGCCATCCTTGAAGACACCAGCATTCAGGCTGAGGCAGACTTAGCAAAAGACAGCACAGTTGTCCCTGAGACAGTCATTCTGGAGGAAGAGAAGAAAGAGGTTGGCATATGAATAACACAGGCCGTGTACAAATGATATTCAGTACTTCGTGATTTTAATGTTGAATCATTAAAGTGGATTAATTTCAATATCATATGCAATATCTTTCTAAATCATGGAGTAATTAGACTTAAACAAATCCAATATCTAAGAAGCGTAAATAAATACTGAGGCATGGTTTTGCATCAGCAGGCCAGCAGTAAATTGTATACTCAAAACCTTAACGAAAAAGTCCTACAGGATCTAATAAGATCCTATAGGATTGGGCCAATTTTCTATAGAATCCTATAGGATCTTATAGGATCCTATAGGACTTTTTTGTAAAGGAATGTATACACTATTGCACATTGGTCTGTTACAGCCTCCTATCAATGCATGCCTTACTGAGGAGATGCCAATCACCGTTCTCGTGGACACCACTGGAAACGTTGCATCTGCAAAACTTGGCCACGTGGAGAGCAAGGATCCAAAAGCCGACGTGCTGTTGGCAGCAACGCCCCAGACAGCAAAGGAGAAGAAAGGCAACAAGAAAGGCAGGAAGGGGCGCAACAAGAAGAAGGGCGTCTTCCGTTACCACTGCTTTTAAGTTGACATTACGAGTTGTGGAAGAGGCATAGGAAATTTACACAGCTTCCAACTCTAATATCTAACAATCATTTCTAAGCCAAACACAAATTTAAAGATTTTCGTCAGATTATTGGGGAAGGGAGGGTTGGAGGGGGTTGAGAGGGGTTAATTTAATTTCCATTCAACTGTGTTAAACCTGTTTCCATATATCTATTATTTAAATGTACAGGTATGTAGCAAACGATAATTTACATAGAATATGATAAAAAAGCTCACATTAAAGAAGTTCGTTTCTGGCACAACTCTTTTGTTGTCATTTTTTTGAAATGATGAAAAGATTTGAAATATTTTAAAACGAACTGCTGTGACACTCAGATGTGAGGGGGCTGGCCTTATATAGCCTATACAGGCTGACTTAAGGCAAGGGATAAAACTCCCAAGCAGGCTGAGTCGATTGAGCATTCTGGAAATTCTCCCTTTTACGCACAGTACACTTTAAAAAAATCTGCACGGACATGTCTCGGTTTTCTTCTTCTTCCCTTATGTGCCCATAAAGTATAGCACAAGTGCTGAGCTGATATATATGCCCCGATTTTAGTGTACGTCGAAAGGGTCACCAAAGATAAAAGAGAGAGAGAGAGAGAGAGATCGTCGGAAAAATAAATCAACTTACGCCGATTCTCAAAATATATAGTCCCATTTAACATTTTTAAAAAAAATTTATGAAAAGTAAGCGAGCGGAGGAATTGTTTGTCCAAGTTCACTTACATCAGTCTAGCAACTTAAATCACTGAAAAAACAATCACCAGTTTTATCTGTTCTTACGCAAAAACATTAACATACAGACTAAATTTTAAACATTCTTTACTGTCGCTCGCAGCACCATCTGACATTCCCCAATCGAGTTATTTTTATCAAAGTAGAAATTTTGCAACTTGTCAGGAAGCTAGCATCATGTCTTACGTCCCAGAAAATGTGTAGGCCTAGAATGTTTATTTTAAATAACGCAATAAATAGCTTGAGGCTACTTTCGCGGTGTCGCTCGGCTTTTGAAAATAAAAATAAAATAAAAAATTCGTTATATCTTTTACCACAGGTCATATCCTCCGCTCCCCCCAGAGGGGAAAAAGCTGGGACCTTCAGTGCGCTAGTGATTATAATGCACGCATAGATCGTCGTGGCAGGGAAGTCTGAGATCATTTAGATGCATTGACGAATAAAAACATCATTAAAGTCGGCGATGTTTCATAAGGAGATAAGTAGTAGTGCTTTAATAGTATACAGTCAAAAAGATCATAATGGAAAAATATCAATAAAAATGACGTTGCTGACTAATTTGTCGCTGGGATTGAATTTGAAATCAGTCAGTCTTTATTTTACTCAAACAACTTTAGAATTGGACATTTTAGGCCTAATGTAGGCCTATGTGTCGAGGAGACTGATTTTGTAGATAAAATAAAATCAGATTGCATTGTTAAAAAAAAACATTTGAGTTAAAAAGGGTGAAGAAAAGGTAAATGTTTGATTTATTCAAACATCTAGGCCTATCATCTATTAATCACGAATGAAATGACGGACCGTGACTTCAAGAACACATTTTTGTTGTTAGGCCTATATAAAACACCCTAGCACGATATGTGCTCAACAGTATATATCTGAAACCATAGATACAATTAGGAGTGCTAAATGCTAGTAGGCCTACACGTGAAACTACGAGCTAAAAATTTTGAATAGTTACAGTAGGCTACATGCAATGGATAGTTGTTAGGCGCGCCCTCCCCTTCAACTCGCTTCCTTGTTTTAGGTGTAGAAATGAAACATATGCCAAATTCTGTTACTGCCTGACTCTTTATAGCATTTTTCAAACCATTCCTGCTCATTGTTACAAGAAATAATAAGTTGCTTAGCCAGGTAAATGTCATTAAAATATTATGTCCGGTGACCTAGGCCATTGACCGGTCAGAAGAAAATCACGAGCGCTTACATAGACACTCTACCACTTACCGGAAGTGCAACACCTGCTGCTCTTGCCAGCGGCTTGCATTTGCTCGTCGTGTCTGTATTTGATTCGATAATGACAACCAATACGTTCAATACATGTGTAGTGTAGTTTATGTTCTAAGGTTTATGTGTAGATTTTAGATGATCTGAGACAGCTGCGAAGACATGGAGCTCTTTTTTGCTTGCTTCGTCTGCTTCCTTGGCCTGTGGACACCCGCTGTTTTGGCAATGGGGGCGAAAATGGACGGGAACATGGAGGGGGGAAGCATCAGTTTTGAGACCCCGACATTGGACGACGAAGACACCTACAGCCCTTTTATGCCGGCGGATTTGAAGTGTGATGCTTGTAGAATCATTGCAGCAAAAGTAGGTGGTGTAGTTTTAATCAAAGACCCTAAATAATTATAAAAGTTAGCACGGCTCTCCCCCCCCTCTCTCTCTCATTTAAAGATCAGCTTCATATGTTCCCAAGCAAACAATGATTCATATCGAGGATTTTTTTTTGCTCTGTTTTATGGTTAATTGGCTTCTTGGGTCTTTGGAGTCACTTCCTAGTAATATAGTATTATGGATGTAAATCCGTTCTTTTATTTAACTTGATATTGCACTACGTACATGTACATGTAGGTGTTTTTGTAGATATATTACAAGGTCATTTTTACTTTTAGTTCAACGAGAGGTTTGATAAGGAACACAAAAATAGAAAATCCTTAAAGAAAGGGGGAAGCCTTCCAGAATCTGATGTTATTGACATAGTTGACCAGATTTGCACTGACCCCTTTGAGAAGTAAGTACTATATAATGGGAAACAATATAATACAAAATGCTGCAAACATTATCACCCCACTGTTACTTCAGATCCTTAATCTATATTTAAAAATATCTTCTGCTTGCATCTTTTCTGTGTAATGTAAATACTTTGTATATTGACTGGATTGTAATGGATTATGAAGCACGTTGTTAGTATAACAAGATTTGATTAATTTTGTGGTTTGACGATTCACCTTACCTAGCTTCAGGTAATAACTCAATATATAGTTGTGCAACATTTGTTGCAAAATAAAAAAAGTTGCATGGAATACTCCCTGTAATGCATATAAATCACCCCTACCAATTGTTTTTAGTTGTGCTGTTTGAAACCATTGGTGGCATTTTGACTAATTTAATATTAGTTGCAATGATCAGACATGTCAACTTGCTTCAAATCTATTATTAAATGCATTTCGGTTGTATTTTCATTATGTTTATAACAATAATTTTTACACTAATGCCATGTAATCTTAATATAATCTTAGCTTTTCAATTCAAAGCTGTTGTCATACATGCTTTAGTTTTAAAGCATGCGTGTGCACGCACGTGCACGTGCACACACACACACACACACACACACACAATGACAGTCTTTTAAAACCAAATAAAAAATTTTATATGTTGAACTTTCAGTGTAGGTGTCAAAGAAATCAATGGTGTACGACGCATGTCAGCCCCAGGATTTGAGACAGCAGATGCTCCTGGTGTAATGCAAGGAGGAGGAAGGTGGCCTGGAAGGTAGAGTTCTGTACTTTTTTTATAATATAATATTGTGAAGTCAAATGTGGTGTGGTGATTTGGTGAAAGTGTGATGGCAGAGTAAACACTGACTTAATATTTGTTTCTATTAGAATGACTTTTTTGATCACACAGTTTTTTTTTTTTTTTTTTTTTTTTTTTTTTTTTTTTTTTTTTTTTTTTGCATATAAAAAAAATGTGAATTTTTGTTTTGGCCATCTGAATAATCTATAATAAGTATTTTGATGGGTGTATTGAATGTTTTTAACGTTTGTCAAATAAGTGTATTTTACAAGAAATGCATTTTAGTGGATTTATTACCCATGAGGGATTATATTCACTACTAGAAGTTGCCCCCTCCCTCCACTTCAGCTTGCCGCAGGATCATGTGAAAAGTCATGAGCAGTGGGACTACAAGTCCACTATTTTCCAAAAAGAGGGCAAGAATTAATTGTTATATTATATGCCTGAGACCATTTTCTGTCACATTTCTTCACCATGCTTGCTATTGTCCTAGTGGTGCACCATGTTTAGTTACTTGATTTACATAAAGAGTGGTAATTTCTGTGGTTCTCCGAAAACTGAATTTTCAGAAATCAGAAATGGGCTAACTTAGAATTGATTAGATTTAGGTGGTAATCCATTATTTATGAGAATTAAGCTACCCTGACAAAGACCTGTTCTCTGAGCTCCCTGATTGCTTTTTTGGTTATGATTATTTATTAAGTAGATGGAAAGTGAGAAGGGTTGGGTTTGTGTACATTACCATGGGTGAAGAGCATATTTAACAGGGGTAAAAAAAAAAAAGAAAGTCTTATATATAATTTTCTTTTTAATGAATGTTTTATACAGAATTCAGCATCTTTATAAAATTTTCACATATAAAAGAAGGAAGATTACAATGGCGGGCCGTAGGAATTAATGAATAAAATTGAGAATACATTTTATTGTGTCATATTTTTCCTTTTTTATTTCTAGAATGCGTGAAATGTGCTCAGCTTATGTTGGAGAACTCGGGGAAGATGAATTATATGATAGGTGGAAGAAAAAAAGTGATATCGAAAATTACTTGTGCTATGGAAAAGGCATCAGAGGTTATTGCAAAATTAAAACTAAGAAAGTGGTTCCAAAGAAAAAGGAGGAAGATGACAGACCACAAAAAAAGGATCAAGACAGTAAAACCAGGGCTAAAGAGTCAGAAAACTTAAAGAGAGAGGCTGAAAACAAGATGGCAGCAGCAAAAAACAAGAAAAATGCTGAAAAAGAGAAACAGAAAGAAGAAAAGACAATTCACACAAACCAAGCAGACACAAAAGATGAGCTATGAGATTTTTCTCTCTCTAGACAAACACTGTTTATCATTAATGTGAAAAGTAGAAATTACATTCCATGTCTGGCAAATTTAATGTAATGAGATTACTGATTATATTCTTACATGATTTATACATTTTGATACATTGGGATATTTCATCCTTGCTGAATAAGATTCATTAGAAACATGCAGATTTAATGGCATTGGTCTTCATTTTGGTTGGTCAACTTTATTTTTGTAATGTTGAAAAAACATTTGCAAGACTATAATGTTTCAGAATATCAAATGTAGTGTTCCTTTATTCTGTGTTTAACCTGTTGTGTTGTTTCTATTTTACAAGAACAATTGACATTTGATGATTTTCAACACATGTTGATAATTATGGGGAATAAGTTATGATGAGTTATATAAAGAATCCATTATATAAAAATGGTAAATTTATTACACATGATAAAAGAGATCTTTTATAATGTTGGGACCAGCCTGTCATGTTTTATGTGATAGCTTATGTTGTAGTTTCTTCCTAAGCCAAAGGAGAATATGTCAAGCATTTGATGTAAAGCATAATGAAATATTTTAAATTTGTGGATATTTTTGTATGCTGATTTTTCAAGCATTCAATGATCATTTCAGTTGTAGCATTTTTGGGTAATGTTTTTCAGCAGGTGGTAGATAATTATAATATTCATGTGTACCTAAAGGGATAACATCTGTTCATTTTGGCCAAAAAGGGGGATTTTCTGGGGATAAAGGACAAATTTCCCTTACTTGCCAAAGGTTAATGAATCCGTTCAAACATTCAAAGTTAGTTCCTGGTTCTTTTCTAAATATTTTTTTTGGGGTAGCCATCTATAGAGGTCACATGGTCCAATGGCCAGCACAGATTCTAGAATAATTGTGATAACTGATGTTTTGGTGATAAAATAGAATTTATTCCATTTCTCACAGTGTATTATTGTGAAAAATGGATCTCATATGAAGAGGTGATGTCCCTTTTGGTCAATTTATTGAGATTATGCAAGTTTTATTGGAGGCAGTTTCAGCTGTTACATAAAGGCAAATACTAGTACAATACAAAAGCATCACTGATGCTGTGGTCCAGGATGAATGTGACATCATAAATAATTAATGTGTGCAATGAACAGAAACTAGATATGTAGCATGTTATAAGAAATGAGTAGAGACATTTAGATATTGAACTGAATGTAGCCATAAATTATCATTTTTAGATTATCAGTTAGATTATTTGATTATTTTACTCAGATATGGTCCGGACTTACATATATGACAGACAAAAAGAAAATGAAGATAAAAATAAGGTGCAGTCATATATTACAGCTTTTGTGTCTACTATATGATAATTATATAACGTTTCTAGCATTAACTGTTTTAATTGAGCGATTAGTCCTTTGGCAGTTGAAAGAAAAAGATATATCCAAGATTAGGTACAGGTAAGAAACTAGATGAAGCTGTTTTGGAGTCTTTAGTTACACACACTTATGTATTTGGATGTTATTTACTTAAGGCTTTAATAGCTTAGCATTTGGCAATCATTTGATCTGCATGTTTATCTACCAGTACTTATATATATACTCCTTATACAACAATGTAAATCTACTTAATAAAAACTGCCATTTTTTATATTCAAGGGAAACTTTTTAAATGTTTGTATTTCTGGAGTTGTTTATAAATTTGAATACTTGGTGAATTGTCAGTGTTACTTTTAGCATTACATTATCATAGTGCATACAGTGTATAAACTTAATTGTGAATAAATATTTGAAACAATTTTTTGGAATTTTCTCTTGAATCGATCACTTCAAATTGAAGTTATTATCAGTGAGATTTTTGTTTTTCATAAAAAAAGTGATTTATTTTTCTTTGGTTTAATTTCAAGGAATCTTTGAATATTCTAGCTGATGTCCATTGCTTTGCCTAATTCAAAAGGTATATTGGATTGTCAGGATTTTCTTACGTAAAATGCACATCGACTTCTGGCAGTAGCGGCACAATTTAATGCCAAATAAGGACCATTGCCTGATCTAGTTACAATATTCCTTACTGTGAACAAATTCAAGATGAAACGACAGTATCTTTTTTAAAGTGAACGGAGTTTGAAACGAAACAAACTAGGAAGGCTCAGAGTCAGATGCGCCTACGCATTGTGATCCATTGTGTTAGTTGAGATCTTTTGGGAACACCTACATGGTTACAACACCAACAAGATGGCGGAAGTACCTTGAGAAAACGGTAGTTGCAAGGTAAATATTGCAAATTTCTAGATTTTTAAAATCCTACATAGCCCCATAACATCAACTCCTTACACTAACTCGTATTTTATTATATTTAAAACATCATACAGTCTCACATGTACAGTATCTGGATCGCCTTGGGGGCAGTTGCAGTAAAAGGGTCTTTACGCTCACCTGACGATGACCTGACCTCAGTTCGCCTGATGCTCGCACCCCCGCCAACTTCGTGATCGATATAGTTTGTAGCTCAGGGAAACGAACACCTGTAAGTGTGTGTAATGACGCTATCAGGCTACGCAGTTTGTTTTTCAGTGGATCGGAGGCTGCGAAGGAAAATATGTTATACAGGGATACCGTATAGCACGAAATTCACGCGTTAGCACTCCTATTTTCGGTTTCAGATATGTACTGGCTGTACTGACTTGAAAGCAAATATCTAAAAAGTTGTAAAATGATTACCAGTTTGTGCATCCACCGTGGTTAGGGAGCTCTCACATTTTTATACAACCTAACATCTATTGCACACACCTGTAAAGCTAATATTTGGACCAGTGAATTCTGATTCATACTTGTAAGTAGATTTTAGGAAACTGGTGGTCAGAATGACCAGTAAGCTGAAAAGTTTACGGCAGAGACTGGTCATTATTTGATCCACGTGGATCATTCAGAAGTCCTTTTTTTGTTTTATTTTGCGTGTACTTGATTTCACGGTGGTCTTACTTGTATAGCTAATGAATCTTGCCTTACACATGACTCTATCCATGATAAAACTTGTTGGCTTTCATTTTACGCTCTTTTCAGCGTTTGGTTTCATGCGTTAGCACATCCAGTACACACCAGAAACTGAAAAATAGGAACTGCAAACACATTCATTTTTTTTTTGCTACTAGTAGTATACCGTATATATAGAGCTACACATACATCCATTTACTGTATAGCATTATGCCTTCATTTGTTTATATCTGAGTGACCCAGATTTTAGTATGGAATCCGCAAAATAAATATGTCCTACTAATCTGAATCAACCACCATTGTGTTATGTGTAGATACTGCATACAGGATTTTAATTGTTGCATCAAATGTCTCTTCTATTGACTGTCTCACAATATTCAATATATTTTTGTAACTTGGATCTTTTGTAATCAAAAATATTTTACCTCTGAAGGGTAATTCTTTGGGTCAACCTTACCTCTCCCCTTCGAAGGGTTTTTACTACCAATAACATTGCCATCACCAGTTTTATTTTACTTTATTATATCATTCTTGTATTGTTTGGCCAATAATGGATATTTGTTTACCACTTCTGTGGAGTGAATTTTGACCATAAATACCATTATTTCAAACTAAGCAGATAAGGGGGACCAATAAGCAGACATGATCTAGATAAACCTGATCTCTACCACTTCAAGTGCCAAGGCAAAACAGCGTACTAGCATGTGTGTGCAAACCTTTACTTCACATTGTATGTTTACAACTTATTTTATCTTACTGTAAGTACTATTATGTATGGTTATGGTTTAAAATAATCAGTTTCTGCTACCTCTTCTTTTTTGTACACTATTGTAGTGGACTGTGAAGCAAAATTGAACATGTACATGTACTAGTGTGCAAATGAAAGTTTTACTAGAGGTAATAAACTTGATACCACTTGTTGCTGAAAAGCGAAGATTCGGCTATAGATTCAGGTTGGTGGGGATAATATTCCAGTTTCCTAAACACATTGACTGTCAAACACACCTGCAGAGGCTTAAATGAAGACAGTCATAATAGCACCTTCTCTCTTGTGAACACAGTGATGAGTGAAATCAAATCAAATGTCATTTGCACTAGCATGGAAATTTGTGTGTTAGCACGCCTATTTACATTGTTTCGTTTGTACCACATGTGCTAGTGCTAGAAAGATATTAGTGTAGGTCACTGTTAGTGTAATTCACACATTCGGTTAATGACAAATTAAAGCAGTCTTCTGTGCAATGGATTCCCAAACAACAGAAATGTGCTGAATCTTACCTTTTTCACTTTGCTGTGGATGACAGAACTGGTAGACTTTTCAGCAGTGTGCAACTTCAAGAGGTGACAGGCAAGCAACAATTTTGAGAACCAGGAAACTTAGCTGATTTGCTAGCTGAACTCCCTATTATAAAGTTACTAGTATCCCTATATATATATATCTTTCTTTAATTTGTTAGGACATATATACTACATTAGTACTTGTACTTAGTATAGTACTTGATCCCATAAGTTGGAATGCATGAATTTTTATGAACTCATTTGTACCTGTGGTATCTTTCTGGCATTTCAAATTTTGATGTTGTTTCACATTGTGTTGATAATTGGCAACATTGCATATTAACTTTATTCTTCTCTCGTTTTTAGAAGGTCCTTGTTTGAGAATCGTCATCATCATCAGAGATGTTATGTCAAAGTTTCAGTTAGATTTAATCTGATGGTACCTCAAAAGAGAAAACCCTACTAGTATTTAAATGCAATGCCCATTTGGAATATCAATTTACTGTAAATCAATTGAACATGTTTCATATGCTTATATTGTATTTTTGTATTGCTTTTATGCAGCCACATGTGGTATGGATGTTTTAAGTCTGATGGTGGCATATGAACCAAGGAAAAGTGTCAATATTGTTGTTGAGGTGGCAATGGGAAGCTTTTTGCCCTGGTTATTATTCTTTATTGATTAAGGTTAACTTTCTACATTATAAGAGTATGTAGAGCCTTTTAATTGGGCGACAAGCTAAAAATCAATTGACTGGTTTTAAAAGTAATATTGTAAAAAAAAATGCTTGTGACGTCAAGGCAAATTCTTATGGTACTTCTTATTGTTTATTTTAGTTTAAATATTAAATAAAACTTTATTGATATATAAGATATGAATGTTGAAATAACTTGGGGGAAACATTTGTATAACAGGATACCGAAGCCCTTTTCAATGTTTGTCAAGTTAGGCAAGGAAATGAGTCCAGGCCTGCTATTGAATCTAAAACAATACATAGGTTAAATTTGGTCAGTGGGTCTGTCAAAGAGTCATGTAGACCAGAATTACATTAGCATATATTTGCAAGTGGGCAGAGGAATTATCTGCATCCCTCGTATAATGTGTTTTGTATTTAGATAGTGCAGTGTGATAGGTTGGTATGAAATGTTGTAATGGATAAAAATATACAGCCGTATGATGTTTTTCCTGCTGTTTTTGAGCTGGATGGTCCTGAGGGATAAATGGCATATTGGTTTGTTGACAGGCTTATACTTTATCTGATGAGATTAACTTTTAATGCCTGCAGCCAGGTGTATATATATGCATAATATTGTGTTCAGAGTTCTGTGGAAGAAAATTCCATTTGTAAGTAGTGATGTATGTACTAGTACATGTTTTAAGAGGGGAGCAATATTCCCAGTTTAAATGACCTCATGGTATTTTCCATTTTCTATGGTAATACAGAATATGAGAACATTGATACTTAACTTATGGTAGTGTTTATTTTAGTTGAGCTGGAGCTTTTGCGTCAGTTTCATTATCGTTATTCCTTGAATTGAGGATGTTCACTCAGTAAAGAAATTAGTGTTCTTTACAATAACATAAAGATATTAATATCAACAGAGAGAGAGAAAGAGGTGAGGGGGTATTTATATTTATCAATTTATTTTCTTTAGAAATTCATCCAAGTGTTGATACTGACATTCCTTTTCTTTCACTTTGCATAAAGATGTAATTAATATTATTCAATACTATATAGTGATATTGAATGTCACAGTTATAAGTTGCTTATTGGTAAGAGTCTAAGTACAGTGTAATAGAATAGACCCATTCATGCCCATGTGGGACTTGAGTCTGGGACTTGTGATAAATGATAGTGCATATGGATGTACTTTATGATATATTTATAGTGTGGCACTCCGTTTTAAGAAGAATATTTTTTTGCCTTTGATTGATCGATTGTTGAGGATGATAATTTGCAGGAAATTGTATACGTATGTACTGGTATATATGTGCATGCAACTAGGCTCTTGTTAATCTGGATCCTCTTATCTGCATCCCCAAAGTCCCTCTGACTGAGAATCTGGAAATGGGCCCATCTCCATTGTAATTTTTCTCAGCGAGACCATAGCAACCATTTTGATTTGTAAACAGAGATGGGAATTTTCTGAGAGGTATATATGGATGACCCCTTTCCAGATCTTGTGGCAGTGGGTAGGAAGGAGCTGATCACAGATTAGAGGATATTGGCATAATATATTTAGAATATACTCAGACTGGTATTAGTACTTTTTTAGCCAAAGGTTAAAATACTGATTGGGGACAAAATAGATAAATGCAAAAGCTAAATGTGTGCTGATGTAACCATTAACATAAAAAAACAAAAAAAAAAAAAANGTAGCCTATTTTCGTTATTTCCTGCATTTTTGTCTGTACATTTGACAGCTTTGCTGCCTTGTTAGATTATCAGTTAGATTATTTGATTATTTTACTCAGATATGGTCCGGACTTACATATATGACAGACAAAAAGAAAATGAAGATAAAAATAAGGTGCAGTCATATATTACAGCTTTTGTGTTTACTATATGATAATTATATAACGTTTCTAGCATTAACTGTTTTAATTGAGCTATTAGTCCTCTGGCAGTTGAAAGAAAAAGATATATCCAAGATTAGGTACAGGTAAGAAACTAGATGAAGCTGTTTTGGAGTCTTTAGTTACACACACTTATGTCTTTGGATGTTATTTACTTAAGGCTTTAATAGCTTAGCATTTGGCAATCATTTGATCTGCATGTTTATCTACCAGTACTTATATGTATCCTCCTTATACTGTACAACAATGTAAATCTACTTAATAAAAACTGCCATTTTTTATATTCAAGGGAAACTTTTTAAATGTTTGTATTTCTGGAGTTGTTTATAAATTTGAATACTTGGTGAATTGTCAGTGTTACTTTTAGCATTACATTATCATAGTGCATATGTAGTGTATAAACTTAATTGTGAATAAATATTTGAAACAATTTTTTGGAATTTTCTCTTGAATCGATCACTTCAAATTGAAATTATTATCAGTGAGATTTTTGTTTTTCATAAAAACTGATTTATTTTTCTTTGGTATAATTTTAAGGAATCTTTGAATATTCTAGCTCTTGTCCATTGCTTTGTCTAATTCAAAAGGTATCTTGGATTGTCAGGATTTTCTTTCGTAAAATGCACATCGACTTCTGGCAGTAGCGGCACAATTTAATGCCAAATAAGGACCATTGCCTAATCTAGTTACAATATTCCTTACTGTGAACAAATTCAAGATGAAACGACAGTAGTGAACGGAGTTTGAAACGAAACAAACTAGGAAGGCTCAGAGTCAGATGCGCCTACGCATTGTGATCCATTGTGTTAGTTGAGATCTTTTGGGAACACCTACATGGTTACAACACCAACAAGATGGCGGAAGTACCTTGAGAAAACGGTAGTTGCAAGGTAAATATTGCAAATTTCTAGATTTTTAAAATCCTACATAGCCCCATAACATCAGCTCCTTACACTAACTTGTATTTTATTATATTTAAAACATCATACAGTCTCACATGTACAGTATCTGGATCGCCTTGGGGGCAGTTGCAGTAAAAGGGTCTTTACGCTCACCTGACGATGACCTGACCTCAGTTCGCCTGATGCTCGCACCCCCGCCAACTTCGTGATCGATATAGTTTGTAGCTCAGGGAAACGAACACCTGTAAGTGTGTGTAATGACGCTATCAGGCTACGCAGTTTGTTTTTCAGTGGATCGGAGGCTGTGAAGGAAAATATGTTATACAGGGATACCGTATAGCACGAAATTCACGCGTTAGCACTCCTATTTTCGGTTTCAGATATGTACTGGCTGTACTGACATGAAAGCAAAGATCTAAAAAGTTGTAAAATGATTACCAGTTTGTGCATCCGCCGTGATTTGGGAACTCTCACATTTTTTATACAACCTAAATGTAGCAACTCATCTCGCACATTCCTGTAAAGCTGATATATTTGGACCAGTGAATCCTGATTCATACAAGTAGATTTTAGGAAACTGGTGGTCAGAATGACCAGTAAGCTGAAAAGTTTACGGCAGAGACTGGTCATTATTTGACCCACGTGGATCATTCAGAAGTCCTTTTTTTGTTTTATTTTGCGTGTACTTGATTTCACGGTGGTCTTACTTGTATAGCTAATGAATCTTGCCTTACACATGACTCTATCCACGATAAAACTTGTTGACTTTCATTTTACGCTCTTTTCAGCGTTTGGTTTCATGCGTTAGCACATCCAGTACACACCAGAAACTGAAAAATAGGACCTGCAAACACATTCATTTTTTTGCTACAAGTAGTATACCGTATATATAGAGCTACACATACAGTACATCCATTTACTGTATAGCATTATGCCTTCATTTGTTTATATCTGAGTGACCCAGATTTTAGTATGGAATCTGCAAAATAAATATGTCCTACTAATCTGAATCAACCACCATTGTGTTATGTATAGATACTGCATACAGGATTTTAATTGTTGCATCAAATGTCTCTTCTATTGACTTTCTCACAATATCCAATATATTTTTTGTAACTCAGATCTTTTGCAATCAAAAATATTTTATCTCTGGTGAAGGGGTAATTCTTTGGGTCAACCTTACCCCTCCTCTTCAAAGGGTTTTTACTACCAATAACATTGCCGTCACCAGTTTTATTTTACTTTATTATATCATTCTTGTATTGTTTGGCCATTCATGGATATTTGTTTACCACTTCTGTGGAGTGAATTTTGACCATAAATACCATTATTTCAAACTAAGCAGATAAGGGGGACCATTAAGCAGACATGATCTAGATAAACCCGATCTCTACCACTTCAAGTGCCAAGGCAAAACAGCGTGCTAGCATGTGTGTGCAAACCTTTACTTCACATTGTATGTTTACAACTTATTTTATCTTACTATAAGTACTATTATGGATGGTTATGGTTTAAAATAATCAGTTTCTGCTACCTCTTCTTTTTTGTACACTATTGTAGTGGACTGTGAAGCAAAATTGAACATGTACATGTACTAGTGTGCAAATGAAAGTTTTACCAGAGGTAATAAGCTTGATACCACTTGTTGCTGAAAAGCGAAGATTCAGCTATAGATTCAGGTTGGTGGGGATAATATTCCAGCTTCCTAGGCAAACACACCTGCAGAGGCTTAAATGAAGACATTCATAATAGCACCTTCTCTCTTGTGAACCAGGTGATGAGTGAAATCAAATCAAATGTCATTTGCACTGCATGGAAATTTGTGTGTTAGCACGCCTATTTACATTGTTTCATTTGTACCACATGTGCTAGTGCTAGAAAGATATTAGTGTAGGTCACTGTTAGTGTAATTCACACATTCGGTTAATGACAAATTAAAGCAGTCTTCAGTGCAATGGATTCCCAAACAACAGTAATGTGCTGAATCTTACCTTCTTCACTTTGCGGTGGATGACAGCACTGGTAGACTTTTCAACAGTGTGCAACTTGAGAGGCAAGCAACAATTTTGAAAACCAGGAAACTTAGCTGATTTGCTAGCTGAACTCCCTATTATAAAGTTACTAGTATCCCTATATCTTTCTTTAATTTGTTAGGACATATATACTACATTAGTACTTGTACTTAGTATAGTACTTGATCCCATAAGTTGGAATGCTGATGCATGAATTTTTATGAACTCATTTGTACCTGTGGTATCTTTCTGGCATTTCAAATTTTGATGTGAATTGTTTCACATAGTGTTGATAATTGGCAACATTGCATATTAACTTTATTCTTCTCTGGTTTTTTAGAAGGTCCTTGTTTGAGAATCGTCATCATCATCAGAGATGTTATGTCAAAGTTTCAGTTAGATTTAATCTGATGGTACCTCAAAAGAGAAAACCCTATTTAAATGCAATGCCCATTTGGAATATCAATTTACTGTAAATCAATTGAACATGTTTCATATGCTTATATTGTATTTTTGTATTGCTTTTATGCAGCCACATGTGGTATGGATGTTTTAAGTCTGATGGTGGCATATGAACCAAGGAAAAGTGTCAATATTGTTGTTGAGGTGGCAATGGGAAGCTTTTTGCCCTGGTTATTATTCTTTATTGATTAAGGTTAACTTTCTACATTATAAGAGTATGTAGAGCCTTTTAATTGGGCGACAAGCTAAAAATCAATTGACTGGTTTTAAAAGTAATATTGTAAAAAAAAAAAAAAAATGCTTGGGACGTCAAGGCATATTCGTATGGTACTTCTTATTGTTTATTTTAGTTTAAATATTAAATAAAACTTTATTGATATATAAGATATGAATGTTGAAATAACTTGGGGAAACATTTGTATAACAGGATACCGAAGCCCTTTTCAATGTTTGTCAAGTTAGGCAAGGAAATGAGTCCAGGCCTGCTATTGAATCTAAAACAATACATAGGTTAAATTTGGTCAGTGGGTCTGTCAAAGAGTCATGTAGACCAGAATTACATTAGCATATATTTGCAAGTGGGCAGAGAAATTATCTGCATCCCTCGTATAATGTGTTTTGTATTTAGATAGTGCAGTGTGATAGGTTGGTATGAAATGTTGTAATGGATAAAAAATATACAGCCGTATGATGTTTTTCCTGCTGTTTTTGAGCTGGATGGTCCTGAGGGATTAATGGTATATTGGTTCGTTGACAGGCTTATACTTTATCTGATGAGATTAACTTTTAATGCCCGCAGCCAGGTGTATATATATGCATAATATTGTGTTCAGAGTTCTGTGGAAGAAAATTCCATTTGTAAGTAGTGATGTGTACATGTTTTAAGAGGGGAGCAATATTCTCAGTTTAAATGACCTCATGGTATTTTCCATTTTCTATGGTAATACAGAATATGAGAACATTGATACTTAACTTATGGTACTGTTTATTTTAGTTGAGCTGGAGCTTTTGTGTCAGTTTCATTATCGTTATTCTTTGAATTGAGGATGTTCACTCAGTGAAGAAATTAGTGTTCTTAACAATAACATAAAGATATTAATATCAACAGAGAGAGAGAAAGAGGTGAGGGGGTATTTATATTTATCAATTTATTTTCCTTAGAAATTCATCCAAGTGTTGATACTGACATTCCTTTTCTTTCACTTTGCATAAAGATGTAATTAATATTATTCAATACTATATAGTGACATTGAATGTCACAGTTATAAGTTGCTTATTGGTAAGAGTCTAAGTACAGTGTAATAGAATAGACCCATTCATGCCCATGTGGGACTTGAGTCTGGGACTTGTGATAAATGATAGTGCATATGGATGTACTTTATGATATATTTATAGTGTGGCACTCCGTTTTAAGAAGAATATTCTTTTGCCTTTGATTGATCGATTGTTGAGGATAATAATTTGCAGGAAAATTGTATACGTATGTACTGGTATATATGTGCATTCAACTAGGCTCTTGTTAATCTGGATCCTCTTATCTGCATCCCCAAAGTCCCTCTGACTGAGAATCTGGAAATGGGCCCATCTCCTTTCTAATTTTTCTCAGCGAGACCATAGCAACCATTTTGATTTGTAAACAGAGATGGGAATTTTCTGAGAGGTATATATGGATGACCCCTTTCCAGATCTTGTGGTAGTGGGTAGGAAGGAGCTGATCAGAGATAAGAGGATATTGGCATAATATATTTAGAATGAACTCAGACTGGTATTAGTACTTTTTTAGCCAAAGGTTAAAATACTGATAGGGGACAAAATAGATAAATGCAAAAGCTAAATGTGTGCTGATGTAACCATTAACATAAAAACAACAAAAAAAAAACAAAAAAAAAAAATTGAAAAAAAGGAAAAAAAGCTATGTATGTTGGGTGCTCATGGTTTTGTTTTGGAAACATGAATTTTGAAAGATATTTTTCTTTAACTCCAGGTTGACAGTGAAGCAGCCAAAATGATTTGAGCAAGATGCAAATGCAGAATCTCAGGTAAGGTTTGAAGTTTTNAAAAAAAAAAAATTGAAAAAAAGGAAAAAAGCTATGTATGTTGGGTGCTCATGGTTTTGTTTTGGAAACATGAATTTTGAAAGATATTTTTCTTTAACTCCAGGTTGACAGTGAAGCAGCCAAAATGATTTGAGCAAGATGCAAATGCAGAATCTCAGGTAAGGTTTGAAGTTTTAACAAATGGTATTGTTATGTAATGGCTAGTGTTTTAGAATAAGGTGGTTTTTCCATTTGAAAAGTTGGGCTATTTGTTGAAAAAGTTCCTATAATCTTGCATGTATTGCAAAGGTAGAATAATTTGCTTGGTTTGATGATTATACTTGACTATTTATGGTGAAAATGAGGGTTACTGTATTCTAGCTATTGCTTTTAATAATCTGCACATCAAAGTTGCAATCATTAAAGGTGATGAAAATAACTTGTCTTCCAACATTTTGAAAAAGCATAAAAATTTACTTGAAGACAGCACTGACAGATATATCTGAAAAATGCTTCCTTGCTGATATCCTTAATTTTTTTAATTAAAAAAATAAGAGAATGAACCTAATTTACCAATCTAGTGTTCACCATTTATCATCAGTTTTTTATGCCAATACATGAATGTTACAATTTTGGATTTAGCAAAATGTTGTTAATGTGAAAGTTATCATGTTTATAACTTCTAATGCTTAGGTTGTAAGGATTAGTTTTATAATTAGAGATGTGTGGCAGGAAGTGCCAGGCGTTGTGATGATCAAACATTGAGGATTAAAAATCAAAACCAATTTGCTGCAAGTAAACTGGTAGTTTTTGGAATTCCTCTGATTGTAGGAAAAGCAGGCTTTTAAAACATATTGAGCTGTTTCCTTATCTCAGAATTGTTTGTAGCACATTCATGAAGAACCTCACAGTAGAAATTTACCCAATATCTATTAAATGCGAGAAGAACAGGATGGCTATGTGTGAATGTCTGTTTGTGTGCATTTTGAGCTTTGGTTCTTTTTAGTAGACTGTCGAAAGTTTTCAGAGGAGCATTAATTTTCTCCAGACAGCCCTCATGGGTATTTACATTAGTTTCATTAGAACGGGAGTAGTTGAAGCAATATATACACTTTAAGAGTAGAACTTACTTTTTATCCAGAAATTTCTAACGGGAATTAATACTTGAGGATGTTGTCAGTGAAAATTTGGTCCTTTGACTCTTAGTAATTGAAGAGGGTTGTAATTTTATTTCCCAAAACTCTCCACCAGTATAGCTTTGGTCTTTGCTTTTAGTAAAAACTAATCAGAGTCAGAGGTTCTATGTTTTCTGTGCTTTTGTGGATCTATGAATATTGTATTTCTGAACGTCACAATTCTTTTTTTTTTTTTTGGTTTTCATTTTAATTTTTTATTTTGTGGGGGCATTAATGCTCTACCAGCATGCTATTAGACCAAGAGATTGAGATTCAATTTTATGTTTTTTCGCAGATTTGTTCCTGGCTGGTAGCAGGCAGTTTCTCCACTGAGTTCTCCAACATGATCAAACCTAACAGGGCACGCATTCTACTCCTAGTGATAGTTCTGCTATGGTTTGCCACGGTTCTACACCTTGCCAGCTGGACGGATACCCCTCCAAAGACAGCCCAGGCCATTCAGGTAGGTCCTTTTGGTGAAAATATTTAAAATGTAAATCAAAAGAAGTTGCATACAATGCCTTCATTGCTTTTAATGTGTGTTTATCATTAAATATAGCTTCCTAAACATTATTTGATTTATTGCAAAAAAAAAAGATGTTAAATGTCATGTATCTCAGGAAAAAAGTTTCATCTCGGTATCTCAGGAAAAAAGGCTTCATCTCAGATTAAGAAATATTTTGGTTAGAAACAGATTGTAATGTATGTTTGTAGTGAGGTGGGTATTGTAGAGGTAAATACTAAAAGCTTAATATGCATTTTTGTGTGTTTGTGGCACCACACTAAGACTGCATTCAGATTCATGAATCTTACAAGCTGGGTCTGTCCAACTCTTTGAGTTTCTCTGTAAAGTGCAATCATTGGACCGATCCATCAAATAGGAAATGTGAATCTGAATTTCCCTTTAAAATCCTGCCTAAACTGACTAAGCATAATCAATTACAGAAATTCAGCTAAAGCAGTAATAATGTAAGTTTGATTTACAAAAGCACTGGAATTTAAAAGTATTTTATCACTAGTTGCAGACTTGATCTTTTAGCTGAAAATTTCAATTGACTAGGAAATTTTCCAGCTTTTTGGCATAAACAAAGTGTATGCCTCATTGGCCAAGGCATGCAAACACAGTATGGCTGCAAAGGTACAACTTGACATGCTGCATATGGTCTTGGCAGTTTTGGTATTTGAATGTGATTACTTTGCCGGTGTAACATGAAAATCTGACTCCCATAAAAATCTGATGCGGGTCACCGAGAGTAAAAATTTCATGATGAAAATCTGACTGAAAATTTTCACCTGCAAAGTAACAAAAAGTTCCTAAGTATCCTCCATTATGCATACTACAAGACAAAAGCCATATACGCAAATAAAATAAGATTTATGAAGTTTTGTGGGTGGGAGTCAAAATTTCATGATGGGAGTCAAAATTTTTCAATGAAATTTTGACTGGGGAGTCAGATTTTCATGATGGTACTCTGGCTTATTATTCCAGGAGGAAATTGTTCAACTGAGTGCACAGTACGTGAAGGCTCTGGCCGCTGAACAGAGAGATATAGTGGATGGACCTTATTCCGGGAGACTTACAAGTTATGGTATGGGGATTTCCATTTTTCTTGGTTTTGTATGTTGTTAAAATCTCTTCAATCAGAGTAAAAAAAAATTGTTGATTTATTTCTTTTAATTTTCTCAAAATTAGTATTTCTGGAAATACTTAGGCTAGATGACCCACAAATGTGGTGGACACTTCATTGGATTTTGGTGAAAAGAAAAAAAAGAAAGATAAAAAACATGAGATTAAAAAAAAAAAGATGTTAAATGACATGTATCTCAGGAAAGCTTCATCTCGGTATCTCAGGAAAAAAGGCTTCATCTCGGATTAAGAAATATTTTGGTTAGAAACAGATTGTAATGTATGTTTGTAGTGAGGTGGGTATTGTAGAGGTAAATACTTAAAGTATATACCGAAAAAAAAAAAGATTATATCCTGTTGACTCAACAGATATCTATTGTGTATGCCAGCTGTCAATATTGATTTTCAATCTTAGCACAACCTTTAAATGTTAGTTTTTAAGACCAAATTTGCTTCATGGCATGTATTCTTTTTATTTTCACTTCTAAAAAAATTCAGTGTGAACGGTGTTAGTAATTTCATTATTTAAGAATTTGAAGGATGTAACATACCTTTGGGATGTCATATTAGTTTATATGAACAGAAAATAGGAAGATTTCAGACCCCCCCCCCCTTCTTGATGGATATTTTTAAACAACATCATTTGATCAGTTTGACCAAAAACAATTTCTGATACGTAATTTGTATTTGAGCTTATTATTATTTCTTGAAAACAAAGGATTAAACATAGCATAGAGTGAATGTTGTAAACAATATTGTGTCAACTTTTTAGACCTGAAAAAGACCTTAGCAGTATTATTGGAGCACATCATGGGAAGATTGGATAAGATGGAGAATAAGTTTGATTCCTTGTTGAATGGCACCTCGTATAATCTGGACAGTAGTGTCAAATTGTCAACACTGGAGAAGGTGGAGGAGAACCCAATGGGAGCTAAAGGTCAGTTCATATCAGTTCAGATCGGGCCAAGTTTTGTCTCGGTCATGTTTTATGGCTGTGAACCTTGTGAAGTATGTCAATGTTTACATTGGAGAGATGTTTGATTTGCCCCCTTTACTGTTTGGTCATGTGAAGAAGGGGCTTTTTTCAGCGTGAAAAAAATTCTTATGCTCTTTTTGTTCCAGCAGCCTTGAAAACAAGTTTGACTCTGAAGAAATATATGTAAACTCAAACACGTATGCATGGATGTAATAAGACGCCATTACTGCCATTTTGATTTTTTTTCTCGGTGTCGTACTGTTGTTAGTTTTGAGCTATGTCAGGGAAAGGTGTTAGAGCAATTTACTTGTATGTTAGATTGTTGAGAATAATTACATAGGAACTGGACTCCTAACAACTTTAGGAGGTGTCAACCAATTTTATTTATTTTTAACTGCTGTTTGCTAAGCCAGAATATCTTAAGGGCAGCTATTCTGGATGGAAATCAATTAATAATATATGTGGAATATTTTTACCTACATGTGTTATGTGCATGAACTGGTCTCTTCAAGCGTGTTGTATGTAACACTATTTAGTTCCCCCCCCCCCCCCCCCAACTAAAATAGGTCATTTATACTAATCTTGTACGTGTGTTTTGTACAGTTTTGTTTGAAGCACATTTGAAAGCATGATGTTATTCTTTTTCTTGTTATTGCAGACTTGACACACTAGTTGAAGTGTGGTGGGCATTTTGTCATGTCATCATATAAATATAATTTCACTAATTTATTTTGGCAGTTTTTGAAGGAAATGCTTTAATTAGTCTGTCTTTCTGTTATATAACTTTATTTTTTCTCCTTGATTGATGAAATATTAATACCTACTACTGAAAGTTACACAGCTTTATACAATCTGTATTACCAAAAAAAAAAAAAAAAGTGAATGTATTAATCTCATGAGGTTTTAGATAACTTAGTCAGGGGCGGATGCAGAGCTATTTTCTGGCAGTCTTCCAAATTATCTTAATTGATTTATCCTCCAATTTTGACTGTCTTCCAACAGAAAAAATTAGATACCTTTTAATGTAAACTTGAAAATTTGACCGTCTTCTGGAAGACCCAGAAGATGGCCTAAATCCGCCCCTGTTAGTTTATGTATGGATGGAGATTATATGGTATTCTCTTGCATGGCTGTGAAATAAATTAAAGCATTGAATGATAGCCCATATAAGGTTTGGGGTTGGTTGGATCTGAATGTGGATTCCTGATTTTTTTTATAAACTTATAACAAAATATATGTGCATTCTTTTTTAGACTGGTAAAATCAAAGCATTATAGATTCTACGCAAATCTGACATTCTATCTAACATTTTTAAGAAATCTTATAGCCTGGCTTATCTTTTTTTTTATCTACTAATATTTCAGCTTCATTGTTTTGTTTCTCTTTATCTAACTTGGTACGGTACATTTTAATTGGGTTTATACTTATTTCATTCCATATAGGTTCAGTAAATGCCCTTACAGAGCATAAGAGATCAAAGAAAGTAACAGTGCAGCGTAAGTGCGGTCAATGATAACCTTTTTTTCTTCAATTTGGTATTCATTGTTGTTAAAGGTAAAGTATATGGAATATCTAATTGAAAAATCCATTGCATTGTAAATATACCTTTTTTTGGTTGCAATGAAAAATTACATCTTTTTCAGAGATGCAGAAATTGCCAGCACATTTTTTTTAGTAGACTGTATAGATTTTGCTTGGCCTGATCAAGAGCATACAGCTTTTGCCATTGGGAGTTACCGTTCATGATATCATTTCCCTCATCTTGTTGATGGTTACTTATAACTGGGATCCAACAAAAGATCCTAATCTTATGTTGGATTCTAGCTGATCGCATCTTTGAAAATGCCTTACAGTAAATAATTTAGAAATTTTGCTTCAAATTCTTTATCTACTTTACCTTTAACATGTTAAAAAGTTGGTGTTTACTTATTACAGCCTACATGTAGCATTGTGAATGTCCACAAGTCTTTTGATAAGTTATCTTACGTTTTTGTGGGCATTTGGTAAATTTTGCAGTTTCAATATGATCTTAAATTTTATTGTAAGTGGATGTTTAGTTTGCATTAGTACTCCTTTACATAGTTACAGTGTACCATCATTAATTAGTTTAAACTAACTATAAGGCAGTAATAAATATACTGTTATTTTGTATTCCTTCATTGGTTTCTTTATTTGCAATGGTATTGGCAGTTTTAGATGCACTGTAAACTGTAATAAATAAACATAATTTTACCAATTTTTTTCTGTTGCTGGTCATGTTTCTGGCTAATTGAATTAACACCAAAGTCGCTATCCATTATTAGCCATTCACATATTGTATTGATAAAAAAGTAAATTATTTTTATAGACACTAAGGCTTCGTTCACATGCAATGTCTATTTTCTAAATTCTATTTTCTATTTGCAGTATGTCTTATGATCACGGTCTGTGGCCTGAATATCCTGCGGCGTAATTACTGGCAGCGCGAGCCAGTTACTATAAGTTACTATAAGTAACTGGCTCGCGCTGCCAGTAATTACGCGGCGGGATATTCAGGGCACAGACTGTGATCATAAGATAGCGCAAATAGAAAATAGAAATTAGAAAATAGACATTGCATGTGAACGAAGCCTAAATGTTTGCTACCTGAGGCACGATGCTTCCACCTTTCAAGGGGCCTTGATAGCGTGACTGACACTTCTCTTTAGAATCAATATACTTTTTTTATCATCATTACACAAGGGACGATGAAAAACCTAAATCCCCATATATTGTCTCGTTCTAATGTGACACAGTCATTCATTCGTAATGCATTTTTATCAGTTTCTTTCAATAAATATGTGACAGCAATTTATGAACAATCAATTTGCATGACTATAACATTATCAAGTGTCTTTACCTGACAAGAGATGTTATATATGGACATTCCACTTAAGCATTTTGGTGTTAAAATTTTAATCATTTACCCGCATGATATTATGGCTGCACTTAATTTTTCTTTAATGTGGACTACTTATATTAAGATCATATTTTGACCTAACCTGAACTCTCATCCTCAGGCAGTCAAAAATAGCAAAGGTCACATTCAGAACAGATGACAGATGATCCTAGGATCTACTGATCCATGGATCCAATATGGCGGACCCTACATGAAAGCAAGACCACCTAATCCTTTAATGGTCTCCCTGCCTCCGCACCGATTAAAATTTGGCTTCGAGGTTTAAATGCTAGGCCCCTACAGGGAAGGTTCGTGTAGAGGTGGGGGAGACCATTAAGGGATTATTTGGTATTGCTTTTTAGTAGGGTAGGCCATATTTAGTCCACGGCACATGAAGTTAATGGATCATCTGTTGTGAATGAGACCAACCACATTTAATTTGTGAAATGCACCCCGAGTTTCAAAGGACATTAGAAACTTGCCTCTCTTCCATCAGCATGCCAGGTGAGTTCGCAGTGTCTGCTGAAAATCAGGGTGATGGAGTTTGGAGGAGGGAGTTAGACTGCATATATTTCAGTCCAGAATGTACCTTGTCTGAATGCAGCTAATGGCTTTAGGTATTTAATTCAGGATTTCAGATGACTGTATTATCTTGACTGAAACTGTTAATATAATGCTTGAAATATTATTATTATAGTTCAACTTGTATGTTATATACAATTAAAATGTGTGTTTTCTGGTTGTTTTAAACAGTTATATATGTGCACTTGTTGACTCTTAGATGCACATCTGCATTCCCTGTTGCACTATTGTATTAATTTCTGCATTTCTACGTTTCTTATATATTATGGTCGCAGGCCTGTAGCCAGCAACTTCCGGGATGGCATCTTTTTTCTAGAACCAAAAAATGGACCTTTTTACTATAATGAAACAGAGACTAGTTTTGATTCAGAGAAGACTTTTTGGAAGTCTAAAGGGCAGGTCATTTGAACCACCCAAACCTCCCCCTGGCAACAGGCCTGGTTATTGTAGAACACCTTGTCCATTATAGCACTATATTCTGTTTCTGTTTGTTCGCACCCATATGCTTGTGCTTTAGGATGAAGAAGTCAACCGTTGCAATATGTACAATTGTTTATGTATGTCACATTCGTGTACCTTCCGTTGCAGGGATGTGATACCTTTTTGCTATTATTTCTGTGTTGTATCAGTATCATTGTTATCAGCAGAGGGGTGTTTTGGAGAAAGGTGGTTTATCAAACTTAAAGTGCACTAGCACCCTGAGTGAAGAGAATGAAATGCTAAAATTTACTTGTTCACAGATTTTATTTGACTGAACAAGATATCTTTTTTAACTGCAGTCCTTAAAATAATGCATAAAACTGAATGAATTTATTTACAAATGATAACTCTTGAATAATGTGATACTTTGGGTGTTGAAATGGCATGCAACCTTCAGATGTTGGCAACTGTATCCTCATTTGAAAATAAATGTTTCCTTTGTTTTATTTTTTGAAGAACTGTTGCAAGGTGAAGCTGAGAAGTGCTCCCTCCCTGACGACCACAAGTATACTTATCCTCACTGTTTGGGAAAAGTTGATGTGAGACTTATTTTCATGAAAACTATGGCTCTTCTTATTGTACTCTAATATATATATCTATAGCTATTTTTATAAGACGTCAATAATGAATCATCATGTCCATGTACATCATTTTTATTAGTGCTCTCTTTTATTTTGATGCAGACAATCAAGCACATCATATCATTATCAAGATAGCAGAGTATAAAAGAAAGAAATAAGATAAAAAAAATATTAAGAGTATACATACCTTGCTAAAAGATTTTGCCATGGAATTCTCATTTAACATTTTTGAACATGCACATTTACCCAGTAATTTTAACTTTTCTTTCAGTGGATGAAGGGCCACTGGAAGTCAGACAAGTGTTACAGCAATTTAGGTGTAGATGGCTCTGTATGTTCTTTTATCATTTATTTAAGTGAGGTAAGATTGTGCGAAGATAATTTCGAAACATTATTTTGAAAGAAAATGACCAAATGTTCTTAAATTATCCTATATGCAAAGGAAAGATTTGTGAGTTAAAGTAATTATTGTTGGGTGTCTTGCAACTAAACAGTATTGATGATCAAATGCAAACAAGCAAACAAAAATGTCTGTGGTCTATGTTGGTGGTATCATTGTTGCTGTTTTGTCATTGTACCTGTGCACTTTGCATTGCTAATGCAATAAATGGATGACAATGTGACCTAATATCCTAAAAATTACTGGTCCTATTACTGGTATAATATACATTAAGTTTAGCTTTTTTTGGATCAGTCCATTTTTCTTAAATTAATGCATTTTTTGTGTTTTTTTTTTTTTTTTAGTTTTCATATATTGGCATTTTCTCTATATTTTAGGTGGAGAATTGGTGTCCAAAATTTCCATGGCGACTCAATGTATCCGAGTCACAGCATCTACAAAATCGCAACGAGGTGAATTATATTATAGAATAATAGTTTATTTTTTATTAACTTTAGAATAATATTTATTTTTATTTTATTAAAATAAGTTGTTGAAGTGATTAAGGGAAAGTTTTCAAAGATGGGAAAATATTTTGATTTCATGGAGGATTTCATCCAAGTGGTTTTCAAGCTATCTTATGCCTTGAAGGTTTATTCTATGTAAGTTGGCAAATCCATAAAATAACACATTTCAGTATTGTGCTCTGGAAATTGGAGTTTGTTGCCTTTGTTATAGGCCATAATACCAGAGAATGCAGCTGGGCTAATGAATCTGTTGACAGACTCAAACAGCCGCAAGCCATATGCCTGGATACGCCATCGCATCCAGCAGATCTGGCCAAAATGGAAGCAAAGTGCAATAGATTTGAACAGCAAAAGCAGTTTGAAGGGAAGAAAACAGAAAAATGTAAGTAACGTTTGTCATTAATGGTATCAATCTAGTTGGTTTTCCCATTAATATTAGCCTGAAGTTTATCACAGCACAGTGATATTAATGACTTACATAAGTACCAATATTCTTTATGAAGAAAGTGCTGACTTATGCAGTAGTACATCAGATTGCCTGTGGATGGAAATTGAGATAAAATACAAAAGATTTCTATAAGGTATTTTCTACAGATCATCCAGTCAGAATGTCTCAGAGAGAAAAATTTTTAAGTGACTTTTCTGATTGTTTGCACTTATTAGCTATATCATCTAGAACTGATGGAATATTTATTAATGGGGACTTTAATGCCCATTCAAAAAACTGGTTCATGGAGGGGAAAGAGGATGCAATAGGGCAATCGATAAATGAACTTCTACACACCCATGGTTTAGATCAACTCTTGAATAAACCGACCAGAATACGAGGGAATTCATCTACCTGCATTGACTTAACTATAACTAACATTCCAGGAATGGTAACGAGCGCGTCTGTCGAGACTCCTATTGGATCAGAGGATCACAGTACGCTCGTGACCTCTTTTGATACTTTTCTACCTGAACATAAAAATAACAATTTACTGTTTAATCTGGATTTCTCAAAGGTCATAGCACAGAACATCAGCTACTGGCAATTCAAAATTTGATAAGAGTAACTTAAGAAAAGGACGGGACATAAGAGGAATATTTTTCGATATTTCGGTAGCCTTCGACAGAGTCCCGCATAAACTGCTATTAATTAAATTGTCAGCGTACGGGTTCAAAGGTAAATTATTTTCACTTTTATCATCATACCTGCAGAACAGAAAAGTGAGGGTATCTATTAATGGCCTGTTATCCGAATCAACTGAAGGAGGCTATATTAATACCAGCATCCCTCAAGGTAGCATCCTATGTCCGTTGCTCTTTCTCCTTTATATTAATGACTTAACTGACAACCTTTCTATTCAGCGACCATAAGAAACTTCTCAAAACTCAATTTAATTCACTACCAAGCAGGAGATTCCAAGGAAAACATTTCATAAACACCTAGGATTTGTCCTACACTCAAAACTGCCTTTTTCTGAAGATATTAGCTACATAGCTTCTAAAGCCCCAAAGGCCTTGAACCCCTTAAGATACCTTTCTCATAAGCTCAGGTCAAACCATCTTAATATTTTATACAATGTTGATTACTGTAATGTTCTCTACCATTCAGCGAGCATAAGAACCCTCTCAAAACTTTCTTCAACATTGTATAAAATATTAAGATACCTTTCTCATAAGCTCAGGTCCAAGCATCTTAATATTTTATACAATGTTGATTACTGTGATGTTCTGTAGAGTGAGCATAAGAACCCTCTTAAAACTCTCTTCAATTCACCACCAAGCGGGTTTACTGGTCCTGGGTGCTTTACCTGGTTCTGATACATTCAAGGTACTAAGACAACTGAACTGGACAACACTTAATTACAGAAGGATAATGCATGCCATAAAAATAATGTTAAGTCACTGAGTAATTTCTATAGCAGCAAATTTCTTTGGTTTTCAATCCCATTTTGATGTAGGCAACTGAGGTAAAATTTCAGTTTTCTGGTCAAGCTGTCATATTGTTGTGGTTTTTTGTTTTCAGATACTCATTCATATAGGGGCTCTGACAAAACAGTCTGGGTTCAAATTTGCTGAGACTGCAGATAAAGGTGAGGAGCACTTATAAGTGACAATGTTCATTTATACAGGCTGTTTGTCAGTGAAACACACCATATTCAGATGGAAGCAATGTCTCTTTTCAATGGTGTCTGTATTGCGCTTTACTTTCTAGGTTTTTAAAACATGTTTTTTTTATTTTGTAATTTTTTTCTTACAAGATTAAAAATAATCGAGGATTTATATTTAATAGTATGTTTACTTGAAGCAGACAGTCGCAGAAATACCCACTTATGATTTATTTATTTATTTGGTATTTTTAGGTATGATTTATTTATTCATTTATTTGGTATTTTTAGGTGGACCCCTGGGTGAATTATTGCAGTGGAGTGATATCATAACCAGTTTATATTTATTAGGTCACAAACTGACTATAACAAGTGAAGTAGAGGAGCTAAGAAAGTATGTCACTTTTCTTTTCTCACATCTTTCTTCCTTTTTTCACTCTCATTAAAGACATGGGGAGCAAATACTCCAAGCAGCATATTTTCATTATATTTTTTGTACTTTTGAAGTAATTTTCCACGTAAACTTCACTTCTTTCAGTTATCTAAGATACAAAAACCAAATTAATACATCTAAATCTTTTTAAATATTTTGTTTAAAAAAAAAAAAAAAACAGAATAGTCTCTGTTCTCAAATTTCATAGTTTTTCCCCACTTTCAATTAATCTTTTTAACTTGTTGAGATTTAAAAAATATTTTGAAATAAATTTCATTACTGCATACAAAAAATAAGGCTTCGTTCACATGCAATGTCTATTTTCTANTGTGAACGAAGCCTAAGAAAGAAAAAAAATAAAAAGCATTGGCTACATGTGTGATTGCATTAGTTGATCTCTGATTGTGGTGACTATCATATTTCACATACATAACAATTTGTCTTCATCATGTTCATTGTGATTTGTTGACTTCCACAAAATATTTCACTGGAATACATGATGTATAATGACTTTTTATGTTGATTGTATTATGTAGATCCCTTATGTGTTTATATTTCACTAGAATACATGATGTATTATGACTTTCTTTTTCGTCGCTTGTGTTATGCAAATCCCTTATATGTCTCTACATTCATTTTGAGTAACAATTTACTTTTGTTCATACTTTTTTTTCTCTCTCTTCAAGAATTTTATCAAAGTTCCCAGATGCAAAGATACAGTGTCAGGTGCGTTCCTCGCTTCCAGTAGATGTGATATTCACAGATATAGTGGGCCTCAAGCAGTTCAAACAGTATGTTGGGCATGGCTACGGCAAATTCAGGTTAGACTGAGACATCTGTTATGATAAAGTTTATGTTTTGTTCTCTTTGCATTATTATCATTATTGTATTATTACTATTATTTTTTTATTTTGAGAAAGTCACTATAATTATCTTACAATTTGTGTGTTTGATTGATTAAATATTCTAGTATAAATGACACATTGCCCTACAGTTGAACATTTGACAAAATAAGAGAGCACTGCAGATGAATTTGACTGTATGTTATTTATTTCAAAAACCAGTTGTCAGTAATGAAATGACTTAATATTTGATACTTCAGTGATGGTTATTCTTTTTAATATGTGTTTGTAAATAAATGTGCATCCAGGTATGAATAAGCTGAAATAATGGTAGTCACACTGGTAATTTTCTCATCTGTGTTTTATAAATTTGAACTTATAGGTCGCAGAATATTAACCTTTTTTACCAGTATCTCTCTACATACATGGATATAATGAAACATTCCATCCTATAGAAAATTACCTGATCCCTTAACAAGATTCATTCTGCATTTCCAAATATCAGTAATGAAAAAGCTGGTATGTATGCATGGGCTTTGAAACTTGCAGCTATATAGCCCAGAAACCTTTTAGGACTAACCTAAACTGGTAATAGTCTGAGCGACATTACCAAATGACAAGATTACATAGGGATGTCCATCTGGCTTTAGACTGTCAAATCCCATGTTTAAGGGTCATATTAAGGGTGTTGAACTTTTTAGCTAGAACTACATATGTAACAAGACTTGATTTTTTCTGGAAATCACAGTACTTTCAGGGGCGGATTGAGGCTGTCTTCTGGGTCTTCTGGAAGACGGTCAGAATTTCAAGTTTACATTGACAGGTATCTAATTTTTTGCTGTTGGAAGACGGTCAAAAATGGAGGATGGATCAACAAAGATAATTTGGAAGACTGTCAGAAAATATCTCTGGATCCACCCCTGACTTGCTAAGTTCCAATTTCACTCTTGAAATGGAGATCGAGACTGATGGATTTCAAAGTGCTAATAATTTAGACATTTAAAACTTGAAAATGAATCTTATAAATCGTCAGTTTTTCAGCAGTCTTTGATAGGGTTTACTTAGTGAAAAAGGAGAAATTGCTGAAACTTCAAGGAATATTAAAACTTGAAAATGAATCTTATAAATCATAAGTTTTTTCAGCAGTCTTGGATAGGGTTTACTTAGTGAAGAAGGAGAAATTGCTCAAACTTCAAGGAAGAATTTTTTTTTTGGTTTCTTGTTTTATTAAGGTCTCTACATGCAATGTATGTCATTAAACAATCTGGCCACTTCTGTTATCAGTTGGACCATTTCCAGAAGCTTTATTCAGTTTGACCACAATAATGCTCCTAGAATTTAAAGCTGAATGACAGAAGTTACATCTCCTCCTAGCTCAGCTTATCACAGTAGCTTATCACACAATCTTCTTGTTAACATGACAGATTACAGACATCATTTAGGAAAAGGGGTTGATAGTATGTGATCTTTCAATCTGTCATGCCTTGGAGACGAGAAGTCGCGGAGAATCATCTGTAAACTCTGATCTATTAGACTTGATGATTTCTGTCCCTTACAAGGACCCCTTAGACGTTTTACGTAGGTCAAAGAAAATACTTCACTCCTTCAACTGTAAAGAAATCTATAAAATGTCTGATAGCTGAGTCAAGGTGCCGTGTTAAATGATTTGATGTTTGGCATGTGATTTACTGCTATGATCGGCTTAGGATTCTTAAGTTAAAAATGAGTAACTCACCTCCAAGAAATGTGAGTTGTTTATTATACAAAGGGGTTTTGGTTCATTGGAGCTTTTATGCTACAATGGCATTTAAGACGATGGCATTTATTATTTTGTTAATTTTAAAATCTTAAAGCACAATAATAACCTCTTGAAATTTATATGAAACTTAATGTAAAATGTAGAATCTGTGAGATGAAAGCACACACAGCTGTTTACAGGTATTGTGGCAACAGTCTTTGGAATTCAGGTTTTGATGCTTGATAACTATTCTTTGACTTGATTATATATGCTTAAAACATTTGAAAAGCATTAGTTGTGAACAAGATCATTTCCCTTATGCCTTACACAGTCCCTAGCATGATAAAAGATATCTCACCTTCATGTGAGCTGTGGAAAGGAAATAAGCAGAAATTTATGACAATACAAAGAATACACTTGATAGTTTTAGGGAAATGAATAAGTATTATGAAGCCTAATAAAAAACTGAGTAAACTTTAGTACTCACTTTTATCCTTTGTGTCTATTAAACAATGAACCAGCTGCCTATTTCCTAAAGAGTAAAAGTCAGATGCTTTTTGCTATTGATTTTTCAATGTATATGGGAATAGAGAAGCTCTTTCCCTGTGTTGTTATTTCCGCTGCATGCCCTCGTGCTGATTGTAAGATTAACGTAAGGAGCCCGAGTGACGCATGTTCCATAAAAAAGTTTGTTTGTGGTTTTTGTTTGGAATTTGAGTTAAATGTGAGACTAGCAAAATGATGGATGCATATCCTGCATAATAATAATAAAAAAACAATATTCAAGCAATTTTTGTATTTTAAGCTAAGAGTCAAACGTCGTCTTTGCAGTCCCCGTGTATTCAAATGAAATAAAATGGTCAACTTAACAAAATTTGTTTAGATCTTAGTCAATGCCTACTGGCTCCTTTGCCTTCTGTTGCCATTACAGATTTTTGTGCGGTCTTGTTAAATTGTCAGCTTATCTTACGTAATGTTTTATCTACATCAGTGAAATAAAAAATGAAAAAAATTGATGTAACAAAAATGGCCTACTCTAACTTTCATGTCCTGTTGAAATTATTTCATCTTTGTAATTGTACACATCTCTCTGTTTGAATTTCAATTTTTAGTTATTACTTGGCAATAACGGCATGTTATTCCACGTGTATAATGCAGAATTGTGTTAGCTTTAAAAGAGGTACTTAAATATATTAAGAGTATTTCTATTATTCAGACAAGCTACAGACATGTTTGAAAATTTAGGTATCTAATTCCTTTTTTTCAGCATCTTAGCACAGTTGAACGAAAGAAAAAATGACATACTGCCTGATGTTAAATGTTGCCATCTGATATTAAAAGGTTATTTTTTCATTTCCTTGTAGGGCACGATACCAGATAAACCTCTAATTAATGACCTATTAATTTTGTGAAGTGCATTACTCAGGTCTCTACTTAATAGACCATGTTTTAATTAAGGATTTCCTTTTTTTTTCAGCTGTCTCCTAAGAGTTATTGATTCATTTGGTACTGAACCAAGCTTCAACCATGATCAGTATGCCAAGGCACACAAAATGATGACCACCTGGGGCAGACAAAACCTCATTCCTCAACAGTTCTTTAACATGTTTCGTAAGTACATAGAAAGCTTAAGGGATATGATGGGACACCTTTTCTTTCATTATAATTAATAGGAAGCATTGGTTCACATAAGCCTGGGTTTCTTTATTGTTAAATAAAATTGGCAATGCATTTTCGTGATCAGTTAGAAGCTAAGATAAATAAAACATTTTAAATCTCTGAATGCATTCAGGTCTTGAACATAGTATGAAATGCATTAGTTGTTTCTCACTGCCATTCTGATTCATGAAATTCCCTTTGATATACTGTGTGTGTGTGTGTATATATATATATATATATATATATATATATACACACATACACACACACACACACAGTAAAGCTCTCACTATCACTTTGTTTTTCCAGTGAGAAAAACAACCATGCAAAATTTAAGTAAATTTTTGTTCCATGAATCGACAGTCTCATTTTTCTGAACATATTATCTTTTTTTTTTCTAGCCCATACTCCAGATAACTCTTTCATTGGTTTTGTTGTGGAGACGCCAGATAATATCTCTTCTTTGAACAGGGTAGTTAGAAAAGAGGACCAGGCCCTGGTGTATGGGAAGCATTTGTCCATGTGGAAGGTAAGAAGACCCTGACTGGAATTACCTTTCCTCTGTCTGTTAGATTACATTCAATTCGTTAAAAAGGGATAATTAATTGAACTTTGTCCCAAAGGGACATAATTTCTGGTTTCAGTAATGATTTTGTTGAATTTTTAAAATTGCATTCCTTACATTAAAAATATGCATGAAAAAGCTATACTATTTTTCTTTCATTAAAAGAGTTTAAATATGTTAATAATTCAATGACTATAGAGCTCACTGTTGAAAAACAGTCCAAATTTTTATATAAGATTCAGTACTATGTGCACTCATCCAGAACTTGGAACAGAGGAATTAATGATATCACTGTGTCATTTGCCATAAAGGCAATAAATAATAAACCCTACAGACTCTCAAAATTTCGTGTGTAAGAATATTATTTCTGTCAAATGCTTGACAGTAATGACATTTTCCAATAAGTAAACAGGCGTCAGCTGTAAAGTTGATAATTTGGGTTATAATAAAGAAACAGAAATGGTAAACATGCAAGAACAACTTATAAATGAACTTTGCTTATGTTACACGCATTGGGATGAAGTTAGAGACAAATAATGATCTTCAAAAGACATCTTCAGCATAATCCACATACTGTTATGATCATATGCCCCCCATTCATTTTCCAGGGCAAGAAGCAATACCTTGACATTATTCATGAATTCTTTGAAATTCATTCCACGTTTTATGCCGGGGGTGTGAAGAGTGAAGATAAACAGGAGGTGCCATCCTATGTTATAAATCATGGGATCCTCAGCCCTGGCGAGATACAGAAGCTTTTGAGAGAGTCCAAAGTGAGTTTGATGTCTGATATTTTTGAGAAAGTCCAAAGTGAGTTTGATGTCTGATATTTGCATCGCTTCTCATACACTATCATGTAGATTGATGTTGATTGCTGTCCGCATGTGAAACGTTTCTGCTACTAGTGCAAGACCAGATGTGTTTCAACCCTCTTTACTAAGTCAAATATGTGCACACGCAAACACACACATTTACACACACACAAATTCATGCAAATGCCACACAAACAAATAGTTGCGTGTACACATGTGTACACACGTGCATGCATGCAAATTAATACCACACAAGCAAGTAGTTGTGGATGCACATGCATGCACACACACACACACACACACACACACACACACACTTGTTATGTGAGTGTGAGGTTTTACTTGTCTTTGTTTATGTTCTTCTAGATATTTGTTGGCCTGGGATTCCCTTATGAAGGGCCAGCTCCACTTGAAGCCATAGCAGCCGGCTGTGTGTTCCTCAATCCCAAGTTCAGCCCACCACACACAAGCCAAAACACCAAGTTCTTCAAGGGGAAACCAACATTGAGGGAGGTAATGAAAAAAAAATAACCCCATATTTTGTGTAGATTGAAAATTCTTTGCTCTTTTTCCAATGGGATTAATTTTGCTTTCCAATGCTTTGCTGACTTCATTGGTAATATGGCATGGCTTTGTGGCTAATGATACCTAACGTGAAGTGAGTTATCCTGACAGGAAAAAATCCACTGGGAAATATCTCTTTGTTTTGTGATGAAATGTAATGTCAGCAGTCAAAATGATATATTTGATGTGTAAGAAACATTATTGACCACTGCAGGACAGCAGCATTCTTATACTGGCTGTGTAGAATGGACCATAAGTTGAAATTTTGAATCATTTATCACTAGTGTGAAATTCTAATAAAATATAAGATTAAGAGTGATGAGAATATATGACTAAGAGTGGAGTCATGAGGTAGTATGATAATTGAAACTTGACTTCTATAGAAGAATTGTAAAATAAACATGACAGCACTGGAAGTTCCATGAATGGAGTTATTGATAGGGTTTGATTTGATTTTGACATTTTTGGTAGATTGGTTGACATTCTTTCAAAACTTATTTAAATTTGATCACTATACCCAGGCAAGTATTTTTTATGGCATATAAAAATAGAAATATGAAAAAGTTTGTCTCTGATGTCAAAAAAATTGAATTAATATAAGTGCAGTATAATGACATCCTTATTTGTGAACAGATTAGAAGACTCAAAAAAGTGCATGACATTAGCTTACCTATTTTATATGACATCAGTTAAAAAAAAACATTAGGCAATTACCTCAAAACATCTTAAGACAATGGTCTTAATCTGCCCCTCTTATGTGTGTGTATCTATAATGAAAACGTTTCTCATAAAGGAAAGTCAAGAAATAATCTTTCTTTCAGGTTACTAGCCAGCATCCCTATGCAGAGGTATACATCCATGAGCCTTATGTTTATACAGTGGACATTAATAACCTTGAAGAACTGCGGACAGCTTTGAGGAAAATCAAACAGCAATCTCAGGTATACATTCACCACATATTGCATGGCTCGGTGTTGAGTTCTGTTTTTGATCACTCTCTTTATAAATTTTTAGTTTTTTTTATGTAGTGATACAGATTTGGGCACATTTGAGTCACCCATGGCTTCATGGAGACTTCATCTGCCACAAATGGAGCTTTAAGTTTTGCTGTTCAGCCTTGAGATCTGAAATTATATACTTTTATTTTTAATGTTGATTTTTAGTAGAAAGGTATGATGAGACATTTTAGTTGTGAGGTGCATATGTGGAATAGATCATTTGCAAAAGATGTTACTCATGGATAACTTGAAAAAGGAATCACTGGCTGAAGTATTAAATCATTCAACTTCTTTTGAAAAAGTTTTGTTACTGTGTAAAAAATGTTTTTTCATTCTTGCAGGTTGAACCATACTTACCTTATGAATATTCAGAAGAAGGCATGCTGCAGCGTGTCAATATATTTCTTGAAAAGCAGGACTTCTGCAGGGTTCCGGTGGAAAGTTTTGTCCCAGATCAAGCAGTCCAGACAATTATAGCAGACACCGGCAAGTCGTGTAAAGATGTGTGCCATAATAGAGGTAAGCAACACACCATTCAGGCCTGTAGCCAGCAATTCAAAAGGGGGGGGGTTCTTTTTCTGAAAAACTGGACCTTTTACCAAGAAACCTTCGTGTACCTAGATGAAATTTTACCCAGAGGAGACCTTTTCCTGGCGAAAAGGGCAGTTCTTAGGAACCCTCCAAACCTGTCATTATTATACCGAGCCTGTCATTATTGATCCAGTGGCATTTCCTACCTGAGACAAATTAAAAAATGTTATATACTCTGTGCCAAATTAAAAATACACCATATCAAAATTGAGAACTATCAAATCTCCAAAGACCATGGGCACTGAATACTTTGAAAAACTGAATAATTTTAAGTGTTTCTAAATGACTCTTAATGTATTTTTAAATATCCTCATAGTCCCAATTGTTTTATTTCATCTTAACACTTTTAATTACCAATTTATTAATCTTATTTTATGAATTTTTACCATTTATGTTATTGGACAATACAACTGTTTTGGTTGCAAATATCTAATTGTTATTATTATTATCATTATTATTATTATTATTATTATAAATAATCTGATGCCTGGTACAAGTACTGGTACAAGACTGCTTATTGCTAACCTTAGGTTTTCTGAGGATAGAAGAAAAAGTATTTTGGGTCTTAGGTTCTCAAACTCTTATAATCTCAGTGGGAAATCTTTGGTGATGTCTCAGTGTGATTCTTCCCACTGCTGATCAGCATAGGTTAGGAATAACTGTTAATTATCCATACAGTTTTGTGTTATTTTGACAATAGCACATGGGGTGCATTTCACCATCTTTGTCCTGGCTAGAAAGACATAGTCAACAACATATATTTATAAGATGCAGTGTTAAAACCGAAAAACCACCATCAGTTTATGAAGTCTGGCTAGAAAATATGTTAAGAAATAAGCATGCTATTCCATTTTTTGTGAGTGTAAAATATTTGGATGTTATAAACATGTTATAAACTCTTTAGTTATTACTTTGAATTTGTTTCTGCTAACCTTGTATTCCTTGCCAACGTGCCATGATTTGTACTCTTAGACTTGAACTTTTTCTTATCAATGCAGGAAGTTGGCCATGTCCCCAGCCAATAGGAACAGCCAAATTGGCCCATCCTCTCTTGTGACCTTGACTGTTACTATAATAAACCGTGTAATATAAGCGATTTTGCAATCTACAGAACAAAAATCAGTTGTTGCGCATATCAATTAACCCTTATCTAAACACTCCTTATAACTTATAACACTCCTTATAACTTAACAGTTAAATACAAATGGGTTTTCTATGAAGATTCAAATTCTTTGCACACTTTACTGTTTTTATTTTAATGTTTTTATCTGTCTGAAAAAATCACAGGGTCTGTTGGGCACAGACCAGGTGGGTGAAAGAGTGGCTATACCACTGATGAGACTTTTCCGACTTTTGTCGTAATTACGACCTTTTCAGGGTCATTTGGGTCATTCTTGTGAATCGTGTAAATCCCGTGAATCGTGTTAATCCTACTATTCCAGTGAGGACTGGTCTCATGCCTGTTATATATACCATGATTGTGAAAGAATCAACAGACTAAGCAAACCATATAGACTCTGAAAGGTGGTTCCCCTCTAGAAAGTATTGGGTAGAAAAGGATTGATTCTCACAAGTCATTAAAAAGCAAATTTTGCCCAGTAAAACAGTATTTATTGATACTTTTGGCTCTACAATGTACATTAGCTATTGATTAAAAACAGTAGAAACTTCTGGTGCAGGTTGTTCACTCAAATCCCAGTTGTTACTACTATATATGGTTTTTGCAGTTAAAGCTGATAGCCCCTCAATAATTCATATCAAGAACAATCAAGTGGTACTGTCCAGGTATGAGAGAATAAAACAATCACAATTATGTTTTAATCATCTTCTTATGCTTTGGTAATACAGATACTAGTACTAGCACATGCATATTTTGATGTATTAGCCCGATTTAGATAATAATCACTCAAAATTGCATTTTGCATAAAGTTTTGTATTTTCCTTTTTATAACAAAATTGATTACTGAGTCACACAAATGAAAATGTCATGCATACATTGACTGTGCATATATATTGGAAAAAGAATGACATTCATATATATAGGTTTGTGTAATATTTTACTGCAAAACAGCCTCTTTATCTGCCTCTTTATCCCCCCCCCTCCCACTTCTTCCCCATAAAATGAAAAGAAAGTCACTGCAGGAACTTGAAAATTCCTCATATCCTGAATCACAAAACTAAATTACCCAAGTAAGAAATGTGTAAAGGCATATTTTGAAAATATCAGGGACATTCTAATTTCCAAAACAAATTCCATCTACCTTATTCTTCATGTAGATGAAAATAGACTAATGCACATATAATAAAGATAATATATACTAAAATATCAAGTCTTGCTGATGAGAAATACCAGTACATTCTGTTGTATCATAAATCAATATGCATAATGTTACAATCACACAGGCAGTTACTAGAGACTGGTATGCAACAGAAAATGGAATGTCCTTCATATTTTTGCTCTGTCTCTGAAAGTACCTGTAAAGAGCATTTACAGCTGGCATAATCATTTGGTGTCTCATTAAGAGAATAACAGGGTTCATACAACAACAATAAGCACAAACAAAAATACTTTTGAAGCTCTAAATCTTGGATGAAGGCTCAAGGGTGTCTGGAGGTGGCATCCCACTTGCTACTACTCCAGGTGATAGACCTAAACAAAATAATATAAAGTTAACAGAAATTTTGACCAAAGAAAGTCCTTGAGCTACATCATTTCCAAGATGGTAGATCACCAGCATGCATGTTTTCCTGAAACACAATTATGCTACCAGTACTTAACCAAAAACTGGCATGTTACAAGGGAGTATGTAACTGTATGTTTATACTGCACAAAAACTTAAATTTGAAATGCACACGAAGTATAATAAGTAATTTGCCAGGCATGTGCTGCATTATTATTTTTTTTTTGTAAGTGTGAAACACATGTGCTTAGAACATGATTTTAAGATTAGTACATCTTTATAATTAACTATGAACCTGAAATTGACATATAAACTTACCACCTTCATCTGATCTTTGGGATTTTTCAAACTGCCTAACTGCCTTTTTAAAACTAAATCTATAATCATAAATTACACTCACAAGTGTGGAAATGGTTTGAAACAATATCTAGGAACACCTTATAGACTACACTGTGGTGCCAGTGCCAGATACCAGATCTGACAATTTTACACTAATGATCCAGTGCTAGATTAACTAGGTACTGGTAAAGGCTATCTTTTATCAGTAAGATATCAGAGTAATTGGGTAGTCTAGTCTTGTATAAGGGCCAGGCATATTCAGCAATCTTTTACCACACCATGGTACAAGATTACACTAGTCTTACATGTACCAGCACCAGGTACCAGATTAGACAATATCATACCAATACATGGCATAAAATTAGACTCTGGTGTGCCAGTGCTGGGTACCAGATTAGACAATATCATACCAATATATGGCAAAAGATAAGACTCTTGTCTACCAGTACTGGGAACCAGATTAAACAATCTTATACCAATATATGGCCCAAGATTAGACTCTCATGTGCCAGTACTAGGTACCAGATTAGACAATATCATACCAATACATGGCACAAAATTACGTTGACTCTTGTGTACTTGGACTAGGCATCAGATTAGACAATCTTATACCAATATGTGGCACAAGATTATGCTCATGTATAGGTGTTAATAGCAGGTACCATATGAAAATAATCAGTCTTGTACCAATACTAAGTATCAGGGTCAGTGTCCATAAAGAAATCTTCTTGGTTCTCGGTCAGAACTTTTCAACCAAAAATTAGGTCTAGTCCACTTAAACATAATTTACATAAAAATGAAGCATTGGTCTGCAATACTAGCATTATCTTCCTTGTTATTTTTATTTCATCGTCTTGGTCAGGACAATTATTGATTAAGCTCGGGTCAAAGTTGATTAAGACCCCGTTCCTATACTTAGATCCATCTAGCATGATCAGCCAATGTCCGAGAGGTTTTTTCACTAAATTGCTTCTAGCTTAAGCAGCTATGATGTCTGGCATGCTTACCGAAGCTGCTAGGTGGGTTGTTAACTATCGTTTAATAGTTTCAGTAGGTGTGCCAGACACCTAAGCCACTTAAGCTGAAAGCAATTGGGCAAGAAACCCCTTGGATATGGGTCGATTCTGCTAGATCAATCTAGCGATGGGAATGGGGTCTAAAATTTTGGTCTCAATCAAATTATAGACCTATTTTAAGGCTAAGTTTCTTTAGTGAAATAGGCCAATCTACTTTTAAATCCTCTCTCATTTTTACATGCTAGATGGTTGGGTTATACATAGAACATATTAAAGTCATAATAACTCTTCGTTTTGGCCAAAAATTAGATTTTCCTGGAAAAAACGGCAATTTTCCCGTACTTACCAATGGTCAACGACCCCATTCCTGCATTCAAAGTTAATCCAGGGTTTTTTTCCTAAACGTGTGGTTTTTTGTTAAAATCTGTTAAGAGATTTTAACTGACGGAGCTCTCTCTGACATTGCAAAGTCACTGGTGACCTACTTAAAACCGCGGGAAAAGCAGACAACAACAACACTATATAAGATTCATGAGATATATTCGTCTTTTTGTTAAAAATGCATTTATATCCACAATGTGTGCCATTCTGGGCTTTTCGTTATCCGACGCACTGTACAAAAACTCGCAACTTACGTCTGCGTCCGCATTAATGCATTTGGCGCCATGTTATTTTTGTCTCGAATGAAAGCGAGAATCCGCGTGACACCATTACGTCATTAGCAACAAATGCCTTGATGACTGGGAAGAAAAGCATCGAAAGCCCCATTGACAAGCACAGATTTTAGTTTTACTACAATAACGGCCGTTTTAGTGGTAAAATACAATAGAATACAAAATACAATAGAATATATTTCCATGCGTTGTTTACAATGTATTTCATGCGGAATTTTGAATCTCAAAGGAAGAGTTATTATTGCTTTAACTAAATTCAAAGTCAGCTTCATTTATGCATCTCTCTTTTTTGATTCAGGGTTGATATGTGAACCTTCCCACTTTACCAAGGTCAACAATAAAGACAAACTAAAACAGATGAATGTAGAGTGCACAAAGTCGCAGCATTCAGGAGATATTTTCTACCCCTCGTTGCACGAGGATTCTGGGACATGTACATTCCAGACAGACCCGATGCTTTTCAGTTGCGTAGGCTCTCAGGAAGGACAGCGACGAATATGTCCATGTAGAAACTATATCAAAGGTCAAATTGCAGTTTGTGAGCAGTGTTTATAATGGAGTGATTTAAGAGCTAATATATTGAATTTTAATATTTTGGATTATTTGTAACTGAAATGCTATATTTTCAGTCGTTAGTTTTATTTCTTAGTGAATTAAGGAAAAAAATGCCTCGGTGCGAAGTAACTCATTACTGATTACTTTTAATTGAGATGTGGTGGTGCACTGTAGCAAATCTACTTTTGATATATGATATTTTAGTCATTTTATGCTTTTTGTTTTAAACAAATTAAACTGGAAAATATAAAAGAATACACAGCTATTCATTTAGTTTGATTTCAATTTTATTTCGCTTATGTAAGTTATCATGCCAAGATTAGTCTTGCACAAATGCTTTACCTTACCATGGGATAAACAGTATCAGGACTATCAAGAATATTTTACCGCAAGGCAAACAAATGCCCATATTTTGTTCTATTGACTGATTTAACGTATTAAAAGTACATTAATGCTATAGCTTGCTATACCATGCCTAGTAGCAAGTTGTTTGTGGAGCATAGACTATTTGGTTGTGAAAAGTTAATTCATTTTATAGCATTTTTTTATGTGTACAATATTGATGACTTACACAGGGTTTCCATATGCATGTTCTTATTTGTGTTATTTGGATTTTATATATTGTGACAAAAACTGACTTTTTCAACTCACTGGTTTCTTAGTAGACATCAAGCAGTAATTTTGGATTATATATTTTTTTTTTTGACATTGGATACCATTGCAATTGAATTGATATTTTTAGTGTTATTATAGTATTATTATATTACAGTTTATTCTCTGCCAGAGGTCAGCCGAGGAAGACACAATTGTTGTGCAAAACAGAACAGAAATGTGCACGGCTGGTGAATAAGTCCGAGAAATATCTGTAAATATCTAGCGAAAATCTCGTCTCTCTGTGCCACTGATAGAGAGTAATAAAAGTTCACCAGTGCTTCAGAGATTATTTGCATATTTTCTTTAAATTTACTATAATCTATTTTTTTAGCCTAACATGTTCAGGTAGCATGAACATGTACATGACCTTGTGAACAAGGGAGTGATTGATTCCCAAGCTGAATGCTTCATCTATATGGATATCACAGCTTGGAATTGACTTTAATTATTATATAAGCTAGTGGTGCTTACTAAAGATATATGCTTCTGTGCCATATTCCTACTATGTTTAACTTCAAATTATCAGAATTATACTTAGAGGAAGGTAAGCAATGTTATATCTGTATCATATACTTTACCCAGGGTTTGTCTTACCTTTTTTTCATAAGTTTAAGTCCCTCTTTTACATATCATTGCTAGATACAATATGCTACACTGTCTTTCTATCCTAAAGTGATTACAGCAGTGTAAATATTTTGAAATTCGATCATGTTTCTCTTGTTTCATCCATCTTTTTGTCTGAGCAATTTATGGTATGGGATTACGTTTACTGGGACTGGTTTTCTATGTTGCAGAAAGACAGAAAAGTTACCAAGTTAGTGTGTAGCAATTAGACCATGTCTGTCACAACAAGCATTTTCTTAAATCAAGAAATCTCAGTTTTGATTAAATTCGATCTTATTTCCTAATACAGTAATCTTATTGTTTCGTGAAGTTGCCTTCAGCCTGCCTTGCCCCAAGATCATTAGCTTGTATTTCCTTAACTCTTGTGTAGTGTAGAGCATCGTAAATGATGGATAGACAGTACAATTAGCTTTTGAAAATGTTATTATTGCTCAGCAAATCAACTGTATTCATGTCTTATATAATTAAAGATGTATTTTGACAATTTTTTGCGCTTTGTAGTATCGGTCATTGACCTCCACAGGAGGGAAAAAAACCCTCATAACTGGCAACTGGATAAGTTTTGTAGAAAGCTAGAGATTATTTGTCTGTGAATTTGATTTGGTGATCCATGCAGATTTTAACTATGTGTAGTGTGAATAAGTATATATATATATATATATATATATATATATATATATATATATATATATATATATATATATATATAATAATTA